TATATACAAATAGCAAATTCTCAAAAAATAGGCGCCCGTTAATTTTGTTGCATTACTGCTTTCTGCCACGAGAGGCCAGAAAGCATTTTCAGGTTGTATCTCGACCGTAAAGCGGTACGTTAGAAGAACAAGGACAGCACGCGATTGTCGCTCCTTGTCTAGATTTATCTCTCAACGATCGCATCCGTGTGCTCAACGTATCGGTGTTTGTGCCTTCACAGATACTACGCACATACGCAATGAAAGAGAGACAAAGACGGCGCAATCATCTTTTTTTGTCAAGCGATCAGTGTACTACCACTATCGAAAAGATCGAAAAGTGGATGTAGCACGGATATGAACCAAATGACCGACAGTATCGAAAAGTGGATGTAGCACGGACATGAACCATATGGAGATTTGACCGACAGTACCGAAAAGTGGATGTGGGTAAGTGTTTCCAATTCCTAAAAGTGGATGCACGGCGCTGCTCTACGGCCTAGAAAAAGCGTCCCACGAAAATCGCCGGCATTGCCTCTCTCAGGCTTCTCTCTGGTTGAGCAAAGTTACACTAGAGTTACGATAAGATTAGATGTTACCAACTGTACAAACTACAGCTACAACTGTCAGTATTCTGACATATTAAGGTTAAATTTTTATAACAAAATATGATGGATCCGAGAGCGATAATGTTAATTTCGCAGTATCAAAGTAATATGCAGAAATTATTTAAATATATAAGTATTTGTATAACCACAACACAGCTCCGTAAAGTTAGCCGGACCACTATAACTTTTTAATAATTAAATTTATCTAATCGTTTGGTGATCGTTTGGTGATGATTGGTAGCTTAATTAAAACGGTTGGTGGTCAATCGTTTTTTTTAGACTTGGTGAAATTGGCCCTAACTGGAAGCTGTAAAGTTAGCCGAACAAATATATTATTTACCAACCAATTTTGTTAAAATTGGTCTTAATTGAAAAACAATCGTTTGGTGGTGATTGGTAGTCTAATTACAACGTTTGGTAGTTAATTATTAAGGTACTACGATTATAAAACCATGTGCGCTGATCCTGCGCCGTGTGTGTGTGTGCGCGCGCGCGCGCGTGCTTCCTGTCCATGCATGCACTTTAGTATATTCCAAACTTTTTTTGTTAAAATCTTTTTAATAAGCAACGAGTGACGATTAAATTAGAAGAAAAAGTTACTCAGAATTATGTCCTTGACAACATATATCAAGGTTATTGGGGCTGGGTCCCCTTTTCGCTATATTTACCCTCATTGGATATCGTGCGACGCGTCATCGCGCTGGCTGCAAGAGCCATCCCTGCCAAAAATGGTCGATTAAAACGGATTTTAAAAAATGTAATCCGAATCGATCGGGATTTCTGCACCGAAAATGCGGTATTAAAACCGATTGAAAATAGTCAAATCGAATTTAGTATCCTTCAGGCGAGATTAATGTTGGATGACATATTTCCACCTCAATCCGAAATTATACGATTTCATAAAGTTATAATTAAACCTGTTTTAATGCAATAGAATTGGAATTTACCATAGTCGATACATAGGTGAAAATAATCTTTCTTAATAAAAAATTACATCATTTCGCAGATGAAAAGTAAATTGATTTTATGTCGTGTGAAGTCGGATTTGCTGTTATCATGAGTCACAATCAATTATTGAATCGGTGTTTCTACAATTGAAACGGACTCAGTTGTTAAAAACAAACATACGATTTCTCCGCAGAGGGTCCGCCTTATATCCCCGCTCGACCGCTTTCTATTTCCAGGTGTTAAAACCGATTAAAACCGACTATGTTTTAATCGGTTTTAATCGACCATTTTCGGCAGGGCAGCTTATATGTACTTACCGGAAAAAATTGATATTTCTTTAGAATATCTACTTGAACAGCCGCAAATATGCTACAACCTGCCGAAAATGGTCGATAAAATTTGAATATAAAAGCAAAAATTTGATAATAATTTTTTAATGTGCAAAATGCTTCAAATTTAATAGATAAACTTTGAGAATATATAAAGACATCCAAGAGAGACGAGAAAAAACTCGTTGTATTTGCGTAAATTCACAATCTTTTTTTCTTATCTCTCTTGGATGTCTATATATTCTCAAAGTTTATCTATTAAATTTGAAGCGTTTTGCATATTTGTAGCATTATATTTAAATATTACAAATACATTGTACCGCAGTGATGCCAGAATTGAAACGCGAGCAACACGACTCCGTAATGGTAGGGATACACACACACAAGCGTAAACCGTGTACATGTAATGCGCAGAGCGCTCTGCGCATTACATGTACACGGTTTACGCTTGTGTGTGTAAGCGTACCATTACGGAGTCGTGTTGCTCGCGTCTCAATTCTGGCATCACTGTTGTACCGTAACATTACTGTAGTCTTACATTGTAATATTTCTGAGGGCGGACATTTTAACGTTTCCGCAGTAACATTGCAGAAACATTTCGCAACTTCCATGCAATATTACAATGTTTCAATGTAAGGTCTATGCAACGTTTCTGCAATCTCTCAGTGCTGTATGGGCACAGTATATACAGTAGCGCAACTTTCCCAATTTTGTGTTGGCCAAAACGGAGTGCGCATGCGCGAAATAAGTAAGTTGGCCAGTAACGCCATCTAAATTTCTCTCTCACTTACTCTTTTTTTCTACTCTTTCGTTCGCTCTCACACTATTTAAATACCCAATTAAATGCCTACTGCCTACCTTATTTGGCGGAATAGATGACATTATATGTTATTTATTGTACGATCGCACAATTTATCAGAGTTTTTGATACAATGCGATTACGAAACGATATTTTTTTCTTTTTTAAATATATTATTAACAATTTATCTGTATATATTATTTATTAAAATACATTATTTTGGATTATTATTTATTGCTATATATATGTATCAATGAGTTAGAGAGAGAACGAAAAGCGAGAGTGAGCGAGAGAGAAGTTCAGTACCGACCAACTTACTTATTTCGCGCATGCGCACTCGTTTTGGCCAATACTAACATCAAAGGTGCCGACAGGGAGTTGCGCTACTGTATATACTGTGGTATGGGTATAGTCCCATACAGCACCGAAAGATTGCAGAAACGTTGCATAGATCTTACATTGAAACATTGTAATATTGCATGGAAGTTGCGAAATGTTTCTGCAATGTTACTGCAAGTCTGCGGCAACGTTAAAATGTCCGCCCTTAAAAATATTACAATGTAAGACTACAGTAATGTTACGGTGCAATGTATTTGTAATATTGAAATGCATTGCTACAAATATGCAAAACGCTTCAAATTTAATAGATAAACTTTGAAAATATATAAAGGCGATCCAAGAGAGATAAGAAAAAAAGATTTTGTGAATTAGAACGTGTTTTTTCTCGTCCCTCTTGGATGTTTTTATATATTCACAATGTTTATTTATTAAATTTGAAGCATTTTACATATTAAAAAATTATTACCAAATTTTTGGTTTTATATAGAAATGGAAACTATTAAACAATTTTCTGTTATCTATAATTCTGTTTTCTATAATTAACATCGCTATTTTATAAATAATTTACAAATTTAAGAAATTGATAATGATTAAATAATTTAATTCATAGAAATTGAAATTTTATTTATACAAATATTAGACTCTATTTTTTACATCTTATATAGACAATAAATGGATAATTTTAACTTTTTCAGACACTTATTTGTCCGATTTCTGAACAATCAGTTCAATATCTGAATTCCTTGTGTTGGGATCGTATCAGACAAATTAAACTGATAAAAATAGTTATTATACCTTTAATTTTACTAGCCGCTCTTTGCAAGATTTATATAACCATCGTGATTAAAACTTAAATATAGGATAGATAAAGCAACGCGCGCTGCATAGCGATAAACGAACGAACTAGCGATTATCGAAAACTGTTTTTTGTAATGTTTTTGGAATGTTGCTGTAATATTCTCATGAAATATTACAATTACATGTTCCAATAATGTCTCAACAATATTACATTGCAACTTGCAAGATTGTAACATTGCTGCAATGTAATTGCAATGTTCTGTGCTGTATGGGGTTCGTTCGGAATTAAAATCGATTACTCTTTAATCCGGGCGCGGATTGAACCGATTAAAACTGATTAAAACGGATTATGTTTTTATCGGTTTTAATCAATCATTTTCGGCAGGGAGGGTACGTGCGTGCGATGCGGAGGAAGCAGGGATCCAGATCATCGGATGAGTGCGAGAAGGTGTTCGTAGAAAGCAAGGAAGCGTTAAAGCGAAACAAACTGTTAACACATTACAACGTCAACTCTAGAATTTACATAGAATTCGACGCGTGAGAGCGGGGGTAGGCGCGGTATTATACCATACTATCGATGGCAAACAGCGACCAATACGTTTTGTATCCGCGACACTGGTCGCGTTCAGCAGAGAAAACCGCTTAGTAGCAATCGAATGTGATTGGTTCTTACTTTTAGAACCAACGAATCAACGTCGAGTGTTGACAAGACGATAACTAAGCGCTTTCTCTGCTGAACGCGGCCACTGACACAGGCCAAACAAAACTACAGCCAATTGGAGCGCGAAGCGCTGGGATTTTCGCAGTAAAAAAAAATCCATAAATACATTTACGGCAGAAAATTTGTTTTAATAACGGATAATGAGCCTTTAAAAAAGATTTTAGGGTCTAAAGCGGGTATTCCACCACTAGTTGCAAGTCGTTTACAGCGAATCTGTTGTACTTATTGGACTGAATATTACAAATTGTTGTAAATCAGAGGTATGTAAATGGACGCGTTCAGAAAACACAACTGTTGAGCATCGTCTTGTCAACACTCGACGTTGATTTGTTGGTTCTAAAAGTAAGAACCAATCACATTCGATTGCTATTCAACGGTTGTCTCCTGAACGCACCCAACGTTTAACGAACAAAAGAGAAGTATACGATAGATATCTGCTGATAATGAGGTAATATACAATGAAATAAGAACTTTTTCTTAGAATGTATAATATAATTTTATTTTTCCTTCCTTTTATCTTTATTTCTATGCTTTTTATCTTTATTTCTATTTTTTTTATCTTCTGATGATAATACCGGTGATATTACTTCTTGTTTCACAGAAATGTTTGTATCCATTACACTTGTATCATCTTCTCTTTTCCTTTTTCTAGAGCCAACGTCACCGTTTTTCTCCGTCTACATTTTTTTTAAATATTTTATAAATAGTCAATCTCATACACATACACACACGCACGCATATATATATCTACATATTAAAAAAAATATTGGAGAAATTAGAAAGTTAAAATAATTAAGACTTGCCTTAATGTCTGCCGTTGACGTCGCTGTTGCAGAATAATCTGTGTAATTTTGTAACCAATCTGCAGGTGTGTTTTCATTTGGTTTTCCATATTTATCTAAGGTCTCTTCAAGTACCATACGTTTTTTTTGCAATGCTTTAGGACCTAAACCCCACTTCCTTGGATATGCATCTCTCTCCATGATTACTCTTTTAATTTTTGCAGCTACTCCATGATCACAAGCAGCCATAGTTGGAGAGGTCATCAAAGCTATAGCTAAATACATATAAATAAAATTTTGTTTAAATATTATTTAAAAATTCTAAATAAATTTTTAAAAATAAATTAAAAATAATATATAAATTCAGAATTTTTCTTACGAGTTGAATAGCAGATAATGCAAGAAGTTGAATAATGTACAACATTGTTATATACAGGATGTCTAATAATAATCGCCCCACGCGTAATATGCATTTAGAGCGGGTTAAACCGAGTAGGAAAGTTCTCTACTTTTGCGATTTTCGCAATAATTAATGAAAAATTAATTAAAAAAGATCAGCCAATTCACGCGAGTATTATCGCGCGGTGAGAAAGAACGGCCTGATATGGGCTGTATTGATATGTGGTTGCTAAGACGCGAGAATCCATTGTTAAGCCCGTTCTACATTGATCGCATGTCGCCAGTCGCAAGCAAATCGACCAATCACAGTCGAATATTCGACGGAATATTATACACCACTCGTACATAACTGTTGTCATTTGTAAAGCACTCCTCTCAAAATTTTGTCGCGCGCCTACTTTTGGGTTCTCTTCTCGCTGCGTCCTTATACTTGCATGAATTGGTCGATCTTTATTAATTAACTTCTCAATAATTATAACAAAAATCGCAAAATGATACAGGACTTTCCTGCTCAGTTTAACCCGCTCTACCTGCACATTATGGGTGAGGCGATTATTATGAGACACCCTGTATATATATACAGGGTAGGCCATTTTAATGTATCCACTGAAATATCTTAAAATCTATAAGTTTAAGATGAAAATGTTTTAGACAAAAGTTGTATGATTCACAGGGGGACACATGATGAAAATATGGACTTGACCTTGAATGACCTTTTCAAGGCCAAGTCAATGTGATTGATGTTTTCTTAAATGGAACCCCCCATTTTTTATTGCATATTCTTGTAGCT